AGGTTACTTATTTACTCACGTAGCACCTTTTAACTTTGTTTGATTTTGTAGTTATCCTCTTCCACTAATAACTGTTGATGTAATTGTTACACTTACAATCACGAATTTGTTTACAACTGAAAACTTTAGTTTAAAAATTAATATTTTTTTAAGAGAAGACTTGGAAGAAATAACTCAAAGACAAAAACACCTTGAGCACGTGAAAAAAATGCAGTGGATCAGGCGAGTAAACAAGTTCTTGAAAAAACTTAAAGAAAGTTAACGACACACTGTCAAGCGACATAAAAGTGAAAGAAGACACCATTGATGAAAATATAATAGGAGGCTTCTGTAGTTGTTCTTACAGAATTTTTTCAACAAGTGATGAAGATATTTTTATGGCTTAAGTCTGTATGTTCATATTATCATTTGTCACTGACTTAAAATTTATTAGAAACAGTATTCGACTCCTGGAGCATTTTTTTTCCTCGTTATCAATAAATATTTTATAAAAATCAAAATTATATAACCATTAGTATGTACAAAAAATATTTATTCAATAAAAATATATAATTCCACTTCATTGTTTGTTTGCTTTGAATTTCGCGTAATGCTACTTAAGGACTATTAGTCTCTAATTTTAAAGTAGAGGGGAGGCAGCTAGTAAACATCACCTACCACCAACAAATAGTGAGATTGAACATCAAATTATAATGCCCACATGACTGAAAGAGCAAAAATGTTCTTTGATGGGATTCGAACTCGCGACTCTCAGAGTACGTGTCAGTTTCTTCTGATTGGAACACAGTGGTATATTTTTCAAAAATAAAAATTAAATGGAAAAAAAAACATAAAATTTATTTCATAGATTGAACTGATTTCACAAAAATTCATATTTTTTTTTCAAAGTTTAACATTTTATTCAAAGTTTTATTGCTTTCATAAACATAAATTTTCTTTATTTAAAATTACATTAGAACAAAAAAAATCTACCAATAACTACTCTTAATAATGCCTTGTACTTTTTACGTAAAACAGTTATTACTGATAATAACCTCTTACAAAACAACTTTTAGTAAAATGCAGAAGTAATATTGAAGGTTTTGGTTTCGTAGCAAATAAACTCTAAGGTCCATATAAGCTAATCAAAAACACCTTGGGTGAGAAAAAAGGTGTGGATAAAAAGGACTGAAATAAAAATTAACGATCAAACTGGTAGCTACACTTCTAGCATTGGTAAGAGTTTTACAGTATAATTTTATTTAACTTGAGGCACGATGGTGGGTAAAACAAAACAAGTGGCCTAGCTAACTACTGAATTAATATTTCCTGAAAAATTCTTATCAATGCTATAATTGTATCTACCAGTTTGACCGCCAATTTTGATTTCATTCCTTTTAAGTAGCATGTTCAATTCTTTTTTTGGCCGCGTCTTTTTTCATACCTAGGGTGTTTTTGATTAGATATAATGACTTTTTGTCAATACACACTAATAAGTAAGAAAATGACACCCGTAGTAACCAACATTAGCTTTGAGCTCGCAACCCTATTATTCGTAACAGACCTTTACTTTACAGGACCAATCAGATTCTTTAAAATATATGGTGGTGATTTTTCCCTTCTAAAACAACTGTCTTTAATCCGAATGACAGGAAACTAAAAACGGTCCACTTTTAATCTTAGATGAAACTGTGGATAAATTCAAGACCGATAGTCCACGTAACTTTTTGTGTGAGCGTGCGCAATAATTTGGGTCACATTTGAGTGGTTCTCGTTGAATAACTTTGCATATGTGGCTTATATTGAGACCAAATTTGTCACCTAATTATAGATTATAAACATGTATCACTGTACCACATTTGAAAAAAATCCATCAAAGTTAAGAGATCTTTCCTGTTTTATACACCGCGTTCAAATAGAAAGAAATATATATTGTTGCGTCATCGAGATCACGTGACAATTCTCACGCTCTCTTGTTTCTAGAACTATCCCGTATCTTGGCGAATGGTCTAGTAATTGCTAGATAGGGTAGGCTGGTATATAAAAGAGGGAAATGTAATGTGTGGATAGTTAGTGAGTAATTGAACTGCAGTCACAGGGTATCGTTGAAGTTAACGTTCGTTCGCTCGTGATACTGTTTGTTTTAGCGCGAGTATTGAGATTAAGTGTATCGCAGAGTTATATTCGGAAAGAATAAACCAGTTTTATTAAGTAAAGACTTGTGTCGTTAAAATTTCGTCGGAACGAAGTTACGGAAAAATCAATTAACAAACGGAGACGTAACAATATTATTAAATGTTGTTTTTAATGTTGATTTTAGAAATATAAATTAAAATTTGGAGAAATTAAAAGAAATATTTTTTATTTTGATTACGAAACAAAGAAAGTACTTTTAACATTACATATATACCTATGTATTTAAAAGAATTGCAAGACATTAAGACAATACAAAGTATCTAATGTCAGTATAACAAATTCAATGTAAACATTCATAAATATTTGCTTGTAGAGATCATCATTTTCATGCCTACAACGCCAAACGAAATCGCAGTGATAGGAGTCAATCATCTTACGATTGATTCTACA